CGATGGGCACAGAAGTAACAGCGGCGTTCAAGGAAAAAAGGGAAAAGGTCTGGAAAAGGCTAACTAGCAACCAACTCCCCTTATACCCCATCAGTAAATTTTCTCTGTAACTGAGTCAGATTTATTTTCTAGTGTTTCATTTTGTATGAAAGTAGCAGTGTGTCAGTAGATATGTCTATGCCACTGTTTCTGTTAAATGAAATTTACAGTGCTCCTGGGGAGGTGGGGAAGCTTTGCGGGTATAAATCCCCTTTTTGAAGCTGCTAAAAGGCAAATTGCCAATCTGAACAGAAGCCAAGTGGCAACCTGGCTTACAATCCAGGATGCTTACAGCTTACACAAGGCTGCAAGGAAGCACTTTGAAAGAAAGAAGGTGACTGTGGCAGAGGTGGATACACAGTGGCAGACAGACTTGGTGGATATGCAACAGTTTTCCAAATACAGTGATGGTGTTAAGTACATCTTAACAGTGCTAGACATATTATCCAAGCATGCGTGCACCATTGGTCTAAAACACAACTAGTTCTGAAATTGTCAGGGGTTTTAAAGCAAGTTTTAGCAGACTGACTGCAGAAAAGAATTTTTAAACCAGCCTTTTAAAGAAGCTGTTAAAGCAGTGTAATGTTCACCATTTTGTTACTAATAGTGAAGTAAAAGCCTCTGTCACTGAGCATTTTAACAGGATGCTCAAAACCAAGATACCAAGATATTTTACAGCACACAAAACTTTTCACTACATGTGTTGTCAGAGTTTATAAAGAGCTATAATGAGAGCTTCCACAGAGCTGTCAGAGCCAGGCCTGCAGATGTGAACACTTCGAACACTGCAAGGGTTTGGAAAATGTATCTGGGGGTGTGTTTAAAATTAAAGAATCTGCTTCTGCCACCCAGCCCCCTGACACCCTGTCCCTTGACCAACATCAGCAGTGTATGCAGGATGCTGCCCACATTGTCCATGTAAGGTAAGATTCTCTCAAATCACACTGCCATTGTTGGAGCCAAGGGGCGGCACAACACTTACACACATTCAAAAGGCATTTGCATGATTGGCTGTTGCTACCAGATGACCCAGACACTAAGTGTCCCTGGCAGTCTGACAGAGCCATGGCATCGCTTATGATCCTGTGTTTGGTATTGGTGATCAGATGAGTCACCGTATAGGCGCGTTGTTGCACACCTTTCTTAGTGCCTCAATAAAGCTTTATTTTCTAATGTATTCTCAGACTCAATTACTGTTCGGTCCACAGAGCCCAGGGCAATTTCTTCCCAACCTGGCTTCCAATAGAAGATTTCTAATCAAGTCCTAAATGGGGTCATTAAATGCAGACACCCTCTAGCACAAGGTAAAATTTGTTCAGACCCTCTGTGTCAACAATCTCATTTAAGAACTTTTTGCGGTGTTTTTGCTGTTGCTGGAGATGTAATTTAACAAGGGAGAAAGGGGAGGAATGTTTTGAGTTTATTCTGTTATTCAAGTCTCCCACATGGGAGCTAAGTGGATGGGAAGGAACCAGAAGGCTCCCCTGTGCTGTTGTGTTAAGCAGCTTGGCACACACCTGTTCTCTGCAGCACCTGCAGGGCTGTGCTAAGGCAAAGTCTTCTTCCTGTGCTCTCTGCAGCTACCTTTCAACACAGGATGCTCAGGGCTCATAGATGTAACCCAAGGGCTTTCTGGGCCAACACCCAAGGGCTCTGAGCACTGCCGTAAGAAGGCCCTTATGCCTGTTGTCAGTCGCTAAGAGAGGGTGTCTCCATAGTCAGGCATGTCAAGGAACTCTTTTGTGCCCAACTGATACATTTATCAAGATGCATGTCTGAGGATGAGGCCCCCTTTCTACCTCTCTAAATGGACAGTGAATGCTGGAAAGCCAGCCATGAGAATATGTCAGATCCAATGAGTTACTTAGGCGAAGAGAATGTGTTAAGTCAATTTGATGGGAAGACTTTCAGGCCAGAATAGTACTATTGAAATTTTCTTCTTACTGCATCAGTAACTCCTAAAGGAATATGAATTAATTTTTAAAGGGAAAAAAACCTAAAATTATTAATAAAAATTGATTAATTAAAAATTTGATTAATTCAAAGAATAATTTGGAAATACAGGGCATTCTTAAAATTAAACTTTAATCAGATTTATTTTTTATTTTAAATTGTACTTGCAGAAAAAAGACAAAAAAATTTCCAGCTGTAGCCAATCCCAGGAGCAGAGCCTCTGCAGGATAACTGGAGCACTGAGAAGGTAATGCAACCAAATAGCCACAATGTTTGTCCCCAGAATCACAGCCCAGGACTGCACAAGAGCCGAATTCAGTTAGTTAAGGACCTGCTTGGACTGTCCTTGAGGGCAAAAGGGCTGTGGGGCCCTCTTGGATCTTCAGAGACAACATCCTCAAAGCCAACGAACACACCAGTCTGATGTGCACGGAGTCGAGCAGGGCCTGGCAGGAAGCTGGCATGGATGAACAGGGACCCCCCTGAATTACTGAGTTCAGACTCCAGAAGGATGTGCACAGAGTGTGGAAGGGTGAACAGGCTACTCAGGAGGCATACAAAACATGGCCTTTGGGTGCAGGGATGGAGCCAGGAAAGCCAAAGCTCAGCTGAAGCTGGAACTAAGTGAAGGATGGGGAAGGCAACAAAAAGGGCTTCTGTATGGGCATTGGCAGTACAAGGCAGGCTTGGGGAGCTAAGGGAAATGTGGTTCCACTGCTCAGGGGACATAGTGACAAAGACATGCAAAATGCTGAGGAACTCATTGCTCTTCTTTATCTTGTCTCTTCTGGGGAATAGCTGCCCTCAGGGTTCCCTGGTCACCAAATGTTATAGATATATATGGATACCTATATATATTATATAAATATATATCAATGTATTTAATGTATAAAAATACCTGAGGGGATTATGCAAAGAGGATGGAGCCAGGCTCTTTTCAGTGGTGCTCAGTGACAGGACCAGAGGCAAATGGTAAAACTAAAAACACAGGAGGTTCCCTCTGAACATCAGGAAACCCTTTTTCCTTGTAAGGGTGAATGAGCACTAGGACAGGTTGCCCAGGGAGGTTGTGGAGTCTCCGTCCCGCAGCTATGCAAAAGCCATCCGAGCATGGTTCTGGGCAACTGGCTCCAGATTGCCCTGTTTGAGCAGGGGGGATGGAGCAGGTGACCTCCAGAGGTCCCTTCCAACCTCGGCCATTCTGTGATTTGGTGAAATATTCTAGTAGTATCTGTGGTAGTGAAGCTTCAACCACAGTGGAGGCTGATGCAGCTGGGGAAGCATTGATGCCAGCTGGACACACACAATAGACCTGATGGGATTCACCCCAGGTTGCTAGAGGAGCTGGCTGGTATCATTGCACGGCTGCTCTTGATCATCTTCAAAAGGTGTGATAGGTTGACCCTGGCCAGCAGCCAAGCATCCACACAGCTGCTTGCTCACCTCCTCCCTTCCCATACTCCTGCAGTGACACTGGGGAAGGCAAGAGGAAAAGCAAAAGTGAGAAAACTCTCAGGTTGAGATAAAAATAGTTTAATAGGTGAAGGAAAGAGGAAAAAAACCCCAAGTGATACAGAAGGAATCACTCATCACCTCCCACAATAAGAATGATGTCCAGCCAGTCTGTGCAACAACCAGCCTGGAAGACAATACACACCCCCTCCCCCCCGTTGCTCCTTCCTCTACCCTATTTTTTATTGCTGAGCATGCAATATCCCTTTGGCCAGTTTGGGTCAGCTGTCATGGCTGTGTCTCCTTCCAATTTCTTGCCCACCCCGAGCCTACTTGCTGGGTAGGCAGAGTATGAAAAAGAGAAAGCCTGAACACTGTGCAAGCACTGTTCAGCAGTAGACAGAACATTGGTGTGTTATCAATGACGTTTTAGTCACACATCCAAAGCATAGCACCCTGGCTCCTATGAAGAAAATTAACTCCACCCCAGCCAGACTCAGTACACTCCCTTCCCTTGTCAACACGGGAAGCTTGAGATACAAAGCTTGAGAAACAGAGGGGTCAAGGATGCCCTGATGAGAATTCTTAGAACAGATGAATCATCTATCTGTTTATGAGAGTTATACAAAGGAATAAAGCTCACAGAGGGCCTACACCAAAAATATTATTCTAGACTACCATATACACCCCATTGTAGCCTACCCAGAGGAAACTTGTTTTATAGCTCTATCTTTTTTACAGAAGGATGCATGGGAAAGTTAATAGCAATTCCTACTGGAACATTCTTGCCTCTCTAAATTGGAGATATGGATTTGATGGATGGACTATTAGATGGATAAGGAACTGGCTGGATGGCCACATCCAAACAGTCACAGTTAATGGCTCAATGTCTAAAGGTCCATACTGGGACCAATAGTATTTATCTTCATAAATGACATACATAGTAGGATTGAGTGCACCCACAAGTTTGCAGACAACACCAAGCTGAGTGGTACGGTTGATATGCTATAGAGAAGGGATGCCATCCAGAGGGACCTTGACAGGCTTGAGGAGTGGGTCCATGTGAACCTCATGAAGTACAACTCGGATGGGGCAATCCCCAATACTAGTCCAGACTGGGGGATGAATGGATTGAGAGCAGCCCTGTGGAGAACAACTTGGGAATACTGGTGGAAGAAAAATTGGATACGAGCTGGCAATGTGCACTTGCAGCCCAGAAAGCCAATCGTATCATCGGCTGCATAAAAAGAAGCGTGGCCAGCAGGTCGAGGGAGCTGATTCTGCCCTTCTATTCTGCTCTCATGAGACCCCACCTGTAGCACTGCATCCAGTTCTGGGGTCCCCAGTACAAGAAAGATATGGACCGGTTAGAGCGGATCCAGGGTGGATCTTCTCCTGGCATGGCAGGGAGGGAGCACAGGCTGAGCAGGGACCCAGTGCTGAAGATATCTGCGTCTTAGCATCTACCCAGCTTTGCAAGAAGCAGCCACCCAGCCCCAGTCCCATTGAGTGCTGCCCACGGTGCAGCAAGCCCTGAGGAGCCCCGTGTCCCTCACCACAGCACCTGCAGCTGCCAGGAAGGATGTTTCAGCCCCTCACACAGCAGCTGCAATCCAGGGTCTCCCAGTTCATTTTCACCAAGGTCCAGCTCCCTCAGGCTCTGGCTGGTGCTGAGCACTGTGGCCAGGTCCCCACAGATGGCACTGGTGAGTTGACAATGCCACAATCTGCAGAGGACAAAAATGGAGAAGATCCACCAAGTTGTCACAGCCACCAGGGCAGATGCTCTCACCCACCAGCTCCTCACCAAGCCGATGACCATAGGCCAGGGCCACAAACCCTGCCCACACTTACCACACACCCATCCCACAGCCAATGAGGGGCCAGCACCGCAGCCACCGCGTGCTCCCAGCCCAGCCCACAGCCTCCCCTCAACCAATCCCTTCCCAGGAGGCACTGAAGGGCTCCTTGGCCCCACAGCTCTGCCCCAGACATGCAGGACCCACCCAGGGGAGGGCTCTCCATGGCTCCACCCCACTCTCTCCACCCATCAATCCCAGCCAGCCATGGCACCACATAGCCCATCCAGTCCCACCCACTCAGGACAGGGCCAATCGGGGCAGCAGACACTGATAGCTCAGTGCCACGCCAACCGCCCGTAGGCCACGGCTGCAGCCCTTTCCTTGCAGGCAACTGGAAGTCTCGTTCCCCGAAGGTAAGCCAAAAGGAAAGCACCCAAAAACATTCAGAGCATGAACATCACACCCTCCACATCAGCACTTCTGCCCCGTGCAGCTATCCTTGTGGCTCAACACTATTTACAAAGGTGAATACAGCCTTTCAGTCCACAAACCTTCTCGATTAATTCCCACCAGTTCCTGTCCCTGACCTCCTTCCCCACTGACTGGGTATCTCCAAAGGCTAGAGACAACAAGCGGAAATTTCTGTGAACTCTGTTTTCTCCCCAGACACAGTCACATCACTGTGCACACAAGTGCTCCTGCTGCCCCATGGGTGTGTGCACAGTTGGATTTCACTGTCTGCCTAGAGGGTCCCAGTGCCATGAGACATACCCCATACGGCTCGAACATCCACCTGGGGCTCGCTGTGATGAGACGACATCTATGCAAGAACCCTGACATTGGGAATGGCAGCTTGGACGGCCATGTGAGTAAAAGGGAAAGACTGGAATGGCAGCTGAGTGACCCAGGACATGTGTCGACACATGGCTGTGGACACAGTGTGCAAAGGCAGACACTGGGCACCCAGGAGATCAGGACTGACTCTCCAGCTCACTCCCACTGGAAATGTCAAAAGGATTGCCCTGCCCTTCCGCTGGTTGCCCACAAGCCTCTCTACTGCAGTAAAAGAGGGAAGCATGCCCAGAGGCATGCATCCCTCTGGGGTACTACAGAGACCAGGGCTGTACAGACCTTCTGTACAGAAGGTCCCTAGGCAAGACATCTGTCACAGCTATTATTGCTGTCCTGGCACGGCAGGCAACAAGCACAGAATGAGCAGGGACCCCGCCCTGCAGATGCACCTCACTGGTAGCCTGTCATGATCCCTGCATGCAGGCAGGAGCTGCCCCACCTCAGCCACAAGCTACACTGAGCACTACCCTTGGGGCAGCTGGGAAAAGCCCTAAGGAGCCCCGTGTCCCTCACCGCAGCATCTGCAGCTGCCAGGAAGGACGTTTCAGCCCCTCACACAGCAGCTGCAATCCAGGGTATCCCAGCTCATTTCCTTCCAGGTTCAGCTGCCTCAGGCTCTGCTTGGTAGTGAGCAACACAGCCAGGTCCCCACAGGTGCTGGCAGTTGACATCTTGCCAATCTGAAAAAAATCCACCAAGTTGTCACAGCCACCAGGACAGATGCTCTCGCCCACCAGGCCCTCACCAGGCCAATGACCATAAGCCATGGCCACAAACCCCACCAACGCCCACCCCACAACCAATCTTCTCCCAGGAGGTACCCCTCAACCCCACAGCTCTGCCCCAGCCAGTGGGCAGCTGCCATGCCCTGCCCCTGCAGCCTCATTCCTGCCTCCCCCAGCAGTGGGGGCTGATAAGATGCACACCAGGCAGGCAGCCCTGTGACCAGGGTTCCTGGAAGAGCTGAGTGAGAAGCACAGCAAGGGCACAGCCACCAGGTCTGCCTGCACAGTGCTCCTCTCGTGGCTAGAGCCAGGAGCAGCTCCCATTTCCTCCGCCCACCTCCTGATGGGACCTATGCCTCAATATGTCCGTTGGGAGGAAAAAAGCCGCCTTTTAAACAGAATGGACTCAGCTCACTCTAAACTGAAGTGGGAAGTGCTGCCTTCCCATAGAGGCAAGAAAAGTTAAAGGAGACCTTGGAGTGGGAAAGGCTCTGGGAAAAGCCCTGAGGAGCCCCATGTCCCTCACCACAGCGCCTGCAGCTGCCAGGAAGGATGTTTCAGCCCCTCACACAGCAGCTGCAATCCAGGGTCTCCCAGCTCATTTTCACCAAGGTCCAGCTCTCTCAAGCTCTGGCTGGTACCGAGCACTGTGGCCAGGTCCCCATAGATGGTGCTGGTGAGTCGGCACCACCACAACCGGCAGGGGAAACACAGGGAGAAGAGCTGTGGGGTCATCACAGCAGCCAGGCCCTCACCAGGCTGATGACCATAAGCCATGGCCACAAACTCTGCCCACACTCACCACACACCCACCCCATGGCCAATGAGGGGCCAGCACCATAGCCGCTGCCCGCTCCCCTCAGTCAATCCCCTCCTAGGAGGCACCCAATGGCCCCTCAGCCCCATAGTTCTGCTCTGGCCACACAGGACCCAGCCCAGGGGAGGGTTCCCCACAGCCCCACCCCTACCCTCTCCACTCACCAATCCCAGCCAGCTATGGCACCACACAGCCCCTCCAGCCCCACCACTCATTGTGGGGCCAATCGGAGCCATGCTGATGGAACAGGGACAGGGACGTGCCCAATCCCAGCAGGCTGTGGCTGCAGGCGGCCATGGGGCTGCCTAGCACTGGGCCTGGCTCCCTGCAGGCCGCTGGGCATCCACCTGCCCCCAGCCCCACACTCGCTCTGTGGGACACCCCAGCCCTCTCCCGCAAAGACCAGCTCTGCCCTCAGGCCTGGGCAGGGGGCAGCTGCCAGGCCTTGCCTCAGCCACTACAGCCCTGCCTTTGGACTGTGCTCCTGGGGAGGAAGGGAAAATCACAAGAATCTGTGGGATTCACTACAGCCCGACCTTGGGCCTAGGTGTTAGTGTGGATGCCCCTCCATGGATGTACAATTTGTGCTCTGCTATCCCCTTCTCTGGGGTGGGAAACAGCTTCAATACCTCTGATGTGGTTTTATCCTGTTTCTAATGAAGTAAAGAGCAGAGGAAGAGCAAGTCTCCTCCTCGCTTCTTAAGCATCTTGACTCCTGATCTGAAATCAAGGTCTCTTTCTCCACCCCCTCCCCATCCTTAGTTGAAGTTCCCAGATGGACAGTGCCAGGTTCCAGTGGAGCCATGGAAAATCCCCTTTCCTAAAGGCCACATTGCAGGGCCCTTGCATATTAGTCTATGGTATGAGGACTGTGAACACAAGCTGTATCAGGCTGTGAAAGGACTTCACTCCACCTCTCCAACACCTGGTCACAGGCAGTAGGCTTAACAGCATCAAACAAAGGGATTTCCTCACCAGCAGAATTCAGGTAAACAGAGTGAACTGCCTATTTGAGAGAAGCATTGCCATTTTTGTTTGTTTGTCTCCAAGGAACAGAATAGTTTTCTCACTTGGCTGTTTTTCATTTGATCCCGGATTTCCTACAGCTTGACAGAGCAGGGACACAGGTGGTGAACTAGACTCCTCCGCCTGGGGTGTGTGCCTAGAAAAGTCAGAGAAGACATGACCTGCATTAGAGGATGCAAGCTGAATTTGTTACTAATTCACAAACATCAAGATAGCATGTTAGGGAGCATAACACCCCACTCAAAGCGCAACTGTGTGTACTTCCAGTTTACTGCAAAAAAAACCCCAACAACCCAAAACCCAGATGTGTCTCATACTGTGCAATGCTAGGTCCAATTTACATGAAATTCACAGTAATCACAAATGCTGCACTGTACATGGCTCCCTGAGACATTTCTAGTTTTGCTGTCCATATACAGATTGTGTTAGCTGCGTCAAGTCTGTTAAGAAGCATTCCCAAGGAAGATAGGCTGGCGCTATTCACTCTCATCTGCAAACCTTCAAGGAGCAATGCACTGGGCTGCCTCAACAGAGGTCTCCAAAACCACCGCAGCTCTGATCAGATTAAAACACTCCTCCAGAATTCAAGGAACAGAGATTCTTTTGAGAATTCAGGGGCTGAAAAAGAGAAACCGCCCCCAGCAAGAGAGAGCTAACAATGTCCCCAAGCAGGAGACAGGAACAGGAGCACATTCAGAGCCTTCGCTTCTGGTGTTAACCCCTTCTTATAAGCAGTGTTCCTTCTCTGTGCATTAACCAATACTGTTTGGAAAAGGGTGATTGTACTCCCCACTGAGCACCAAACTCCTAAAGACAGGACCCAAGGGACCAAGTCCAGCTGGGCCCATTGGGTAATGCCAGCTGTACTATAAGCAGGAGCCCAGTGCTTCAGTATAAGAGCAAAAAACTACCTCAGGGCTGTAACTGCACAGATCTGGAAAGCAGTCAGAGCCACAACTAGCCCAGGGTCCAGACAGAAATCCTGTGTGGGGGTACCTTTCGAGGAGTGGGCCCATGCAAACCTCACAAAGTTCAACAAGACTAAGTGCAAGGTCCTGCACCTGGGTCAGGGCAATTCGCAGTATCTATCCAGACTGGGGGATGAATGGATTGAGAGCAGCCCTGTGGAGAACAACTTGGGAATACTGGTGGAAGAAAAATTGGATACGAGCTGGCAATGTGCACTTGCAGCCCAGAAAGCCAATCGTATCATCGGCTGCATAAAAAGAAGCGTGGCCAGCAGGTCGAGGGAGCTGATTCTGCCCTTCTATTCTGCTCTTATGAGACCCCACCTGTAGCACTGCATCCAGCTCTGGGGTCCCCAGTACAAGAAAGATATGGACCTGTTAGAGCGGATCCAGAGGAGGGCCATGAAAATGATCAGAGGACTGGAACACCTCTTACGAAGAAAGGCTGAGAGAGCTGGGGTTGTTCAGCCTGGAGAAGCGAAGGCTCTGGGGAGACATTATTGTGGCTTTTCAATACTCAGAGGGGCTTATAAGAAAGATGGAGAAAGACTTTTTACCAGGGTCTGTAGTGACAGGACAAGGGGCAACAGTTTTAAACTGAAAGAGGGTAGATTTAGATTGGACATAAGGAAGAAATTGTTTATGAGGGCAGTGAGACACTGGAACAGACTGCCCAGAGAAGTTGTGGATGCCCCATCATTGGAAGTGTTCAAGGGTAGGCTGGATGGGGCTTTGAGCAACCTGATGTAGTGAAAAATGTCCCTGTCCCCAGCAGGAGGGGTTGGACTAGATGATCTTTAAAAGGTCCCTTCCAACCCAAACTATTCTATGATTCTACCTGTTGGGCAGCCAGGCTCTTGATCAGTGTAATTTGGAGCAGGACAATAAAGTTGCTCTTTCCACTCCACTTGTGCCAGACTTGTGCTGCCAGGCCTTCCTCACATGTTTTCCTTAGTTCTGGTGAGGGAACACCAGGAGCTCTTTTCGTAACATTGATAGGAAAACACCCAGAGGGTACCAGCTACCATCATCCCTTCCCAAACTCCTTACCACTCACACTACTGACAGTGGAAATACAGATACAGAAAAGAGACCCATGCACCATCCCAAGTCACAAGTACAGGGTTGCTCTGAGAGATAGAATGCAGGCTGAACCACCACAACAGGTGTCCAGATGCCACTGGTGGGTCCCACAGCACAGATCAACTCTGGCATGGTCACACTACCCATCAGAGCTTTTAGCAGGAAGACAGCACCCCTAGGGAGAAGTGGAGAGCACATAATCATGGGCTGCAGAAGGCCGTATCTCAGGCTCTTGCATCCAAAGGGTAGGGGGTGAATTGGATACATCTATATGGTGTCTTCTTGAGCCTGGGGATCTCTCAGCACAGTCTGGCTTTGCATGGCTCTCACTTCAGCTTAGCTCTCACAGTGGGAGGAAGGAGTTTATGACAAGCAGAGGCAAGATAGGGGATAGGGACTTTCTTTAAAAACACTGGGCACAGAAACAGAAAGAAAAACTATGGGTTCAGCACCCCTTCCCCTGAGCCATGAGGTTCTGTGCAGTGCTGTCTCTCATACAGTGCAGTGCACAGCATCTCCCTGTTCAGAATGAGAATACATGAGAAGCCCACAAGACAAACAAGACTCACCAATCTGGTTAAGACTGACTTAAAAACCTCAGTGGCAGGAGTCAATGCTGTAGCTCTGACCAGGCAGCCTTTATGTCAAACAGCCTCAGGGTAAAAAGCTAATGAGGTCATCTTTTGCACAGAGCTTGCTTTCTGAACTCTGTTACTTATATGAGTGCTTTAGTTGCACAGAAGTTTACTTCTGAAGAAAAACTCCCCTCTGAGGCACTATCTTCCAGTGGAGCAGTCCCAATGCCAGGCCCCAAATTACAGCAGCTTCTCCAATTTAAGAGACACTTTCACTGAAGAAACCTTGAAAAGCAGCAAAAAACATCCATTGAATACATTTAGGTTCTCACACAAACCATCAATTTGATGTCTAGTAGCTGGAACCTGGATGAAAGGAACAGAGCTGGAGCCTATGTGCTGGAAGGATTGAGAACACCCTTGGAGGACAGCCAGCGGGAAGAAAAGATGTATCTGCAAGTCTGCTTGCTGTTGGGCTTCACTGACTATAGATCTGCACTGCGAACTCAGTGCAAGATAGCCTGAGCTGAGTTTAGAGGGAAAGGCCTTCAAAAGACTTCAAAGGGCATCTTTAGCACAGATCATTTGTTTCAGAAATGCATTAGCTTTAGCTATGCTTTGCAACACAAATCTTCCCAGTTAGAATATGAGGTCTCTGAAGCACCCTATTCCGGTAGAAGACTAACAATGCCACACCTAAAGCTGCAGCAGCTTTTCCAGTTTAACAGACACTTACCACCCTAATTTGAAAGAAATCTGGAAGAGTAGCAACAGTAAATCGTCTTCATCGAATGCAATGTCACACAATCAATCAAACTGATTCTCAAAGCACAGAGTGAACAACAGGACCACACCTTTGTGGTGGAAGGGTTGAGAACATCCTTGGGCACTACCACAAATCTGCTGCAAAAGGCAACATTTCAGCCAGAAGCAGGTGGTGGCAGAGAGACAATGGGTCTCTGAAAGACCATAAATCATAGAATCACAGCATGGTTGAGGTTGGAAGGGACCTCTGGAGGTCATCTGCTCCAACCTCCCTGCTCGGGCTACCTCAAGCAAGCTGCCCTGGACCACGTACAGCAGCTTTTGAATATCACCAAGGATGAAGACCTCACAACCTCCCTGGGCAACCTGTACCAGTGCTTGTTCACCCTCACAGTGAAAAAGGGTTTCCTGGTGTTCAGAGGGAACCTCCTGTGTTTCAGCTTGTGCCCACTGCCTCTTGTCCTGTCACTGAGCACCACTGAAAAGAACCTAGCTTTGTCCTCTTTGCACCCTCCCTTCAGGTATTTATGTACATTGGTAAGATCCCCCTAAGCCTTCTCTTCTCCAGGCTGCACCGTCTCAGCTCTTTCCTTGTATGCAAGATGTTGAAAAACCAAAGTTGAAAAACTTCTCAGCATTTGTCTTCAGTATCCCATCACACTGAGTTGTGTGAGTCTAGGAAGGTGGGAGACTCTCTGTAACTGGCCTTAATATTAACTGTCCTTTAAAAAACAAAAAACCTATTACTTGAAATAGCGCACTGATGAAAGAGCACACATCAAATGACTGTACTGCTCCTTCCTCTAATACAAGGCACACTACCTGCCTTTTTTCAGCTCTGTCTCAGTCCAAGTTCCACCTTTGGACAATTCTGAGCAAAGGTGTAATTTTCAAAGAAAGTTTCTGTTCCCACACCAGAAGCACTCCTACTGGGCTGACAGCTCCACAGTCATAGGCCTCTCTCTTTTTGAAGCGTAGAGGATTGTGCTTTGACAGTCATCCGGTAACACAAGAACGCCTCTCCACAATGAGAAGGTTGCACCCCACAGATGAGAAGGACATAGAGGATAACTGCATTTTTACAGTGATGTTTTACCCAAGTCCTAACAAGCCCTCCACAGCATGAGCCAAACTGGTTTATATTTTAAGGACAGGCAAATGAAAATACCTTTAAAAACCTTTTCTGCAGAGAAGAATGGGTCTCTATAAAAATAGTACAGGGGAGACAGACGCTTCTATTTCCTGCAGAAAAACATCACGCCAGGCTGATATTTGCCTTCACCTAGGAGCAAAGACTTTGAAGAGAAAATGGACATCTGAATTCAGTACTCTCTTCGTCCTTTATGCAACTGCTCACACAGCAGGTCCTGCCTCCATACATGGTCTCCACAATAGGCTTAGTCAATCAGTAAAAAAAAAAGAGTAACGTACATAGGGAATGGGGGCAGGGGAATTTTATTAGTATGACAGCAGGAAGGTTCTCTTCACCACAGCAAGTTTTTATAATGGAAAGACTTCCAACCATTTTTCGTTTTTAAAACAGGGGAGAACACCAAATTATGTAATCAAGAAACTCCAACCCTGTGGTTGCCAGCAATACTTACTGATGTGACCTATCTGGAGGCCCTGGAACAAACTTGTTTTCATGGTCTTCCAGTGCAACTGAGCACCCTTCAAGATGAAAGGAGTCCAGTCCAGTCCAGTCCAGTGTTTGACACAAAATGAAAGAACCATTTGATCACATTGGCTCAGGATGCAGTCTTTCAGAACTATCCCGGTGAAATGTTCCAATGCATTGCTCACAAATGTTTCTTCTTGAATTCAAACAAAGTGAAATACATTCAAGTTGTGAATCACTCCACCAGAACAGGAGTTGTTCCTTGGCCTATTTGAATCCACTTCAATAAATCTTCCTTAACTCTAGGTGAGATTTTACACCCAGTTCTTTCTATCAGGTACTCACTTGTTTCCTCATTTAACAAGCCAAACAGGAATCATACCACTAATACCCAATTTGTATCATACTCACTATACTTTTCTAACACCTTCTTTATATCCTTCCCCAGCATCCCCAATTCTCCTGTTTGCTCATTGTCCTCCAGTGCATAGAAGAATGCTGCAAAAAACTCTTGAAAGCTCAGGTGAAGGAAGCTGTAGACACTCACACATCTCATACGGTTTCTTAGAACACTCTCATTCAGAAAAAGTGAGAGGAGGACTGGGTGATTTAAGCCATACACCTCAATCTCCTTTTCATGAAACAGGATCTCCTGCTTCCAGATTCCATCAGCAGCCATGCAGCAAAGTCTGCTCAGGAACTTCTTCATATCCTGCTTTAGATTGTCACTCTCACACTTGAGTAAGCTGGAAAGGTACAGCACGTACAGCTCTGTGGTTGTTCTAGAAATCTGGACAAGATCTTTCCTTCATTAAGTTCTTGTTCAAGGACAGTGCAGATGGTCCAACACACAATGGGTACAAGGCACATGGCAAAGAAAGTGTAATTTCTTTTGACAAAAGTAACGGCTTTTACTGCTTTCTCTTCATCCCTGAAGAACTTGTGGAAATATTCCTCCTTCTCAGCATCTGAAAAGCCCATTATTTCTGCATAATGCTCCTCCTTTAAACACTGCCCCAGCCTTTGAAGAGCTGTTGGTCTTGTAGTGATGAGCAAGGAGGACTAAGGAGAGTTTCTGAAATAAACTGCTCAGAATGATTTCCACTGGCTTCCTTTCGCCACAGTCAGAACACAGCTTATTTTTTGTCTGATCCAAGGAAAACCTCAGTTCATCAAAGCCATCAACGATGAACAGGAGTTTTTCAGGACTAGCCAGGATTCCTTCAGGTGGTACCTTTCCACAAGGACAACAAGCTGAGATCAGATCCACTAGACTCAGCATATCTGCCTGCTGGAAAAGGTTGACTTCTCCACAGTTTATGTAGAAAGCATAGTCAAATTATGCACAAATGGCTCCTCTTGCCCAGTCTAGCATGATCTTTCTTACTGTCACTGTCTTTCCGAAAGGCTGAGAGAGCTGGGGTTGTTCAGCCTGGAGAAGCGAAGGCTCTGGGGAGACATTATTGTGGCTTTTCAATACTCAGAGGGGCTTATAAGAAAGATGGAGAAAGACTTTTTACCAGGGTCTGTAGTGACAGGACAAGGGGCAACAGTTTTAAACTGAAAGAGGGTAGATTTAGATTGGACATAAGGAAGAAATTGTTTATGAGGGCAGTGAGACACTGGAACAGACTGCCCAGAGAAGTTGTGGATGCCCCATCATTGGAAGTGTTCAAGGGTAGGCTGGATGGGGCTTTGAGCAACCTGATGTAGTGAAAAATGTCCCTGTCCCCAGCAGGAGGGGTTGGACTAGATGATCTTTAAAAGGTCCCTTCCAACCCAAACTATTCTATGATTCTACCTGTTGGGCAGCCAGGCTCTTGATCAGTGTAATTTGGAGCAGGACAATAAAGTTGCTCTTTCCACTCCACTTGTGCCAGACTTGTGCTGCCAGGCCTTCCTCACATGTTTTCCTTAGTTCTGGTGAGGGAACACCAGGAGCTCTTTTCGTAACATTGATAGGAAAACACCCAGAGGGTACCAGCTACCATCATCCCTTCCCAAACTCCTTACCACTCACACTACTGACAGTGGAAATACAGATACAGAAAAGAGACCCATGCACCATCCCAAGTCACAAGTACAGGGTTGCTCTGAGAGATAGAATGCAGGCTGAACCACCACAACAGGTGTCCAGATGCCACTGGTGGGTCCCACAGCACAGATCAACTCTGGCATGGTCACACTACCCATCAGAGCTTTTAGCAGGAAGACAGCACCCCTAGGGAGAAGTGGAGAGCACATAATCATGGGCTGCAGAAGGCCGTATCTCAGGCTCTTGCATCCAAAGGGTAGGGGGTGAATTGGATACATCTATATGGTGTCTTCTTGAGCCTGGGGATCTCTCAGCACAGTCTGGCTTTGCATGGCTCTCACTTCAGCTTAGCTCTCACAGTGGGAGGAAGGAGTTTATGACAAGCAGAGGCAAGATAGGGGATAGGGACTTTCTTTAAAAACACTGGGCACAGAAACAGAAAGAAAAACTATGGGTTCAGCACCCCTTCCCCTGAGCCATGAGGTTCTGTGCAGTGCTGTCTCTCATACAGTGCAGTGCACAGCATCTCCCTGTTCAGAATGAGAATACATGAGAAGCCCACAAGACAAACAAGACTCACCAATCTGGTTAAGACTGACTTAAAAACCTCAGTGGCAGGAGTCAATGCTGTAGCTCTGACCAGGCAGCCTTTATGTCAAACAGCCTCAGGGTAAAAAGCTAATGAGGTCATCTTTTGCACAGAGCTTGCTTTCTGAACTCTGTTACTTATATGAGTGCTTTAGTTGCACAGAAGTTTACTTCTGAAGAAAAACTCCCCTCTGAGGCACTATCATCCAGTGGAGCAGTCCCAATGCCAGGCCCCAAATTACAGCAGCTTCTCCAATTTAAGAGACACTTTCACTGAAGAAACCTTGAAAAGCAGCAAAAAACATCCATTGAATACATTTAGGTTCTCACACAAACCATCAATTTGATGTCTAGTAGCTGGAACCTGGATGAAAGGAACAGAGCTGGAGCCTATGTGCTGGAAGGATTGAGAACACCCTTGGAGGACAGCCAGCGGGAAGAAAAGATGTATCTGCAAGTCTGCTTGCTGTTGGGCTTCACTGACTATAGATCTGCACTGCGAACTCAGTGCAAGATAGCCTGAGCTGAGTTTAGAGGGAAAGGCCTTCAAAAGACTTCAAAGGGCATCTTTAGCACAGATCATTTGTTTCAGAAATGCATTAGCTTTAGCTATGCTTTGCAACACAAATCTTCCCAGTTAGAATATGAGGTCTCTGAAGCACCCTATTCCGGTAGAAGACTAACAATGCCACACCTAAAGCTGCAGCAGCTTTTCCAGTTTAACAGACACTTACCACCCTAATTTGAAAGAAATCTGGAAGAGTAGCAACAGTAAATCGTCTTCATCGAATGCAATGTCACACAATCAATCAAACTGATTCTCAAAGCACAGAGTGAACAACAGGACCACACCTTTGTGGTGGAAGGGTTGAGAACATCCTTGGGCACTACCACAAATCTGCTGCAAAAGGCAACATTTCAGCCAGAAGCAGGTGGTGGCAGAGAGACAATGGGTCTCTGAAAGACCATAAATCATAGAATCACAGCATGGTTGAGGTTGGAAGGGACCTCTGGAGGTCATCTGCTCCAACCTCCCTGCTCGGGCTACCTCAAGCAAGCTGCCCTGGACCACGTACAGCAGCTTTTGAATATCACCAAGGATGAAGACCTCACAACCTCCCTGGGCAACCTGTACCAGTGCTTGTTCACCCTCACAGTGAAAAAGGGTTTCCTGGTGTTCAGAGGGAACCTCCTGTGTTTCAGCTTGTGCCCACTGCCTCTTGTCCTGTCACTGAGCACCACTGAAAAGAACCTAGCTTTGTCCTCTTTGCACCCTCCCTTCAGGTATTTATGTACATTGGTAAGATCCCCCTAAGCCTTCTCTTCTCCAGGCTGCACCGTCTCAGCTCTTTCCTTGTATGCAAGATGTTGAAAAACCAAAGTTGAAAAACTTCTCAGCATTTGTCTTCAGTATCCCATCACACTGAGTTGTGTGAGTCTAGGAAGGTGGGAGACTCTCTGTAACTGGCCTTAATATTAACTGTCCTTTAAAAAACAAAAAACCTATTACTTGAAATAGCGCACTGATGAAAGAGCACACATCAAATGACTGTACTGCTCCTTCCTCTAATACAAGGCACACTACCTGCCTTTTTTCAGCTCTGTCTCAGTCCAAGTTCCACCTTTGGACAATTCTGAGCAAAGGTGTAATTTTCAAAGAAAGTTTCTGTTCCCACACCAGAAGCACTCCTACTGGGCTGACAGCTCCACAGTCATAGGCCTCTCTCTTTTTGAAGCGTAGAGGATTGTGCTTTGACAGTCATCCGGTAACACAAGAACGCCTCTCCACAATGAGAAGGTTGCACCCCACAGATGAGAAGGACATAGAGGATAACTGCATTTTTACAGTGATGTTTTACCCAAGTCCTAACAAGCCCTCCACAGCATGAGCCAAACTGGTTTATATTTTAAGGACAGGCAAATGAAAATACCTTTAAAAACCTTTTCTGCAGAGAAGAATGGGTCTCTATAAAAATAGTACAGGGGAGACAGACGCTTCTATTTCCTGCAGAAAAACATCACGCCAGGCTGATATTTGCCTTCACCTAGGAGCAAAGACTTTGAAGAGAAAATGGACATCTGAATTCAGTACTCTCTTCGTCCTTTATGCAACTGCTCACACAGCAGGTCCTGCCTCCATACATGGTCCCCACAATAGGCTTAGTCAATCAGTAAAAAAAAAAGAGTAACGTACATAGGGAATGGGGGCAGGGGAATTTTATTAGTATGACAGCAGGAAGGTTCTCTTCACCACAGCAAGTTTTTATAATGGAAAGACTTCCAACCATTTTTCGTTTTTAAAACAGGGGAGAACACCAAATTATGTAATCAAGAAACTCCAACCCTGTGGTTGCCAGCAATACTTACTGATGTGACCTATCTGGAGGCCCTGGAACAAACTTGTTTTCATGGTCTTCCAGTGCAACTGAGCACCCTTCAAGATGAAAGGAGTCCAGTCCAGTCCAGTCCAGTGTTTGACACAAAATGAAAGAACCATTTGATCACATTGGCTCAGGATGCAGTCTTTCAGAACTATCCCGGTGAAATGTTCCAATGCATTGCTCACAAATGTTTCTTCTTGAATTCAAACAAAGTGAAATACATTCAAGTTGTGAATCACTCCACCAGAACAGGAGTTGTTCCTTGGCCTATTTGAATCCACTTCAATAAATCTTCCTTAACTCTAGGTGAGATTTTACACCCAGTTCTTTCTATCAGGTACTCACTTGTTTCCTCATTTAACAAGCCAAACAGGAATCATACCACTAATACCCAATTTGTATCATACTCACTATACTTTTCTAACACCTTCTTTATATCCTTCCCCAGCATCCCCAATTCTCCTGTTTGCTCATTGTCCTCCAGTGCATAGAAGAATGCTGCAAAAAACTCTTGAAAGCTCAGGTGAAGGAAGCTGTAGACACTCACACATCTCATACGGTTTCTTAGAACACTCTCATTCAGAAAAAGTGAGAGGAGGACTGGGTGATTTAAGCCATACACCTCAATCTCCTTTTCATGAAACAGGATCTCCTGCTTCCAGATTCCATCAGCAGCCATGCAGCAAAGTCTGCTCAGGAACTTCTTCATATCCTGCTTTAGATTGTCACTCTCACACTTGAGTAAGCTGGAAAGGTACAGCACGTACAGCTCTGTGGTTGTTCTAGAAATCTGGACAAGATCTTTCCTTCATTAAGTTCTTGTTCAAGGACAGTGCAGATGGTCCAACACACAATGGGTACAAGGCACATGGCAAAGAAAGTGTAATTTCTTTTGACAAAAGTAACGGCTTTTACTGCTTTCTCTTCATCCCTGAAGAACTTGTGGAAATATTCCTCCTTCTCAGCATCTGAAAAGCCCATTATTTCTGCATAATGCTCCTCCTTTAAACACTGCCCCAGCCTTTGAAGAGCTGTTGGTCTTGTAGTGATGAGCAAGGAGGACTAAGGAGAGTTTCTGAAATAAACTGCTCAGAATGATTTCCACTGGCTTCCTTTCGCCACAGTCAGAACACAGCTTATTTTTTGTCTGATCCAAGGAAAACCTCAGTTCATCAAAGCCATCAACGATGAACAGGAGTTTTTCAGGACTAGCCAGGATTCCTTCAGGTGGTACCTTTCCACAAGGACAACAAGCTGAGATCAGATCCACTAGACTCAGCATATCTGCCTGCTGGAAAAGGTTGACTTCTCCACAGTTTATGTAGAAAGCATAGTCAAATTATGCACAAATGGCTCCTCTTGCCCAGTCTAGCATGATCTTTCTTACTGTCACTGTCTTTCCAGTCCCTGCGCCACCCACCAGCACAATGATCTGTGGCATTTGACCTCTTTCATCAGGCTGAAAAAGTGTTTCTACAGTAACTGCAGGGTGAGCTTCTTCCCTTCCAACTTCTGCACATCCTTCTCTTAGACCCAGGACTTCCTGTTCTTGTTCACTTCTCCCCATAGGGTTTGTAACCATCACCAGCTTCGTGTATCTACTGCTTAGAGTCACGTTCTCACCCAGACAAGCATTCACCTCTTTAAATGTATGGAACTCTCTTGCTACACGGTCTATTTCTGCCTGTAATCTAGAACAGTAAGAAATGTAAGTACGGTCCCTAACAAGTGCAGATTTCCCATTAGCTCCTTGTCATTAAAACTATTCCAACAACACACTACCACTATACTGCACTTGTTTTACATGACTTCCAAAGACCTTAACAACAGCTCATGCTGAACACCGTTCTGAACAGGCTTCTTATGCTTTATTTATGGAAGATGGGGGGACCAGCTCCTCTTTACACATCTCTATTAGGTACAGTCAGGTTGGGAGGATTGGACCCACTGGGGAAGAATGCCTTCATGGGAAAGACGGCTGAGGATTTAG